ATCCAAGCACATTTGCAATGGAAAGACTTTTCCTAATGTTCTCCCATAGTCATTTGTCTATTGTCTCTCATTCTAGTGCCACACACCTCCAAGGGGAGCCTGGCTCCAGTTTCAATGCCAGCAACACTGCTCTATATTGCCAAGTGAAAGGAGGAAGGGTCACATTTCTGCCGCCTCACTCCATTCCAAAAACAACAGGACTGGAAGCTTTGGCACAACCTTCACTCACACCCTCATGAAACTACACACAAAGTTTTTCGCACCTCTACACCAAAAGCTACAAACTTGTTCACATTAGCCCAAGTTATGATGCCCCAAACCAAGTTCTCCACTTATGTTGTCCAGGATTAGCGGATTCAGTCTTTGGCACTGCAGTAACGGGACATTCAATCCAGAATCACAGCAGCCGGCATAAATTCCACCAACACAAGCCCTTTGTGTCCCTTCTCTCCAGTATGTCCATTTTTCTCCTGTACTGAGAAGCTCAGAATTGGGCACAGCATGCCAGGTGAGGTCTCCACTGAGCAGAGGAGAAAGAATACCTCCCAGTACTCCCAGTCCAGCTGGAGAAGAGAGACACAGTTGGCTTGAAGATTGGGAACACATGAAAGGCTGGTAGCCTTCTCCAAGTAGAAAATCCACGCAAGGGATCAAGGCATCACATAAATACCAAGTGTCCCCAGCAAGAACAGCAGTGATACTCTAGTCACTTTCACCACCATCTGAGGCACAAGCCAACCAAGCTGAGAATCTGAAAAACATCAAATGAGATGAGGGAGTTTTTTAGTCAGCAGAAGTTGCCTTAGCACATATCCCTCAGCAGCACAGGGAGGCACAGATGTTGAAGAGCAGGGTATGTGGCATTTTACGCTCCCTTGATCTCACTGCTAACTCTGAAAAGTTAGACGATGGAAAAGACCTGAAGAAGCTCCTTGGCAGGAGAGGCTTCAAAACAAATGAGATCAGGCCTGAACTAGAATGGCAGAAGGAGCTATGCACATTGATTTGAAGCTCTGCTGAGAGTCAGGCTTCCCACAGGTACTTGAGTACTGAAGAAAGGGAACTTAAAGCCAGCATCCTGGGACTGAGGTGAAGACAGGCATGGCAAGGCTCTGGTGATGTTTGCCAGACACACATTGGGATGCTGCTGGTCTTTGTATTTCCCAGCTAACAAAGAGCACAGTGCAGACCTGCTTCCCCCTTTAAGCACATCAAAGGCAGCCAAGCAGAGCCAGTTAAAGGCAGATTTTGCTAGTTTTTATTAGATGGGCTTACTGCCTCTCAAATATGCTCAAAGGGCACGTCCATGAACAAATCAAATCCACACCTTAGTTCCTCAAACAGGTGCTGCTTTTTTCTCTCCACACTGCAAAGCTGAGTAATGCACCTCCTGGCCCTACAATTTTTGCAGAGCACCCTTCTGTTTTTGCAGCTTACCTTTCCTGGTTCAATCTAGAACCAGGGCAATCAGCACAAGCTTCACGTACTAAGAAACCTCCTTTTGCCCTTTAATCCACAAGGTCATTATCTTCCCTCCTGTTTGTGCAGCTCTCACCATGGAGATGATTGCAATCTCCAGGACAGCAAGAAGGGCCTGTTTATGAGAACTGAGGTAAGTCCCTTGCAGCAAGCAGCTAGTTCCTGGTAAATAAAAGCATCTGCACCCTAACACAGATGCTTCTCCATGAGGTGCACCAGAACAAGGATACAGAAGATCATTTCCCAGCTCCACCATCTGCTCTCAACATGCACGTTTCCTTAGTGGAACACAGTAGCTTTAAGGGAAGACCATAGGCAGCACTTCTCTCAACAGAGCAAGGCAACAATATACAACCAGACCAAATCTGTTATTTTAACTCAGCCTACAGTGAAGGAATAGGTAAGGAAATACAGTCATGTATGCCAGCACACCTCCTTCCTATCCCAAGTTTACTACAGATACCAGTCTCCATGAGATATCTGCAAGGAGCCTGGCCAAAAGCAACTGTACAAAAAAGGAACTGAGGAGAAATGTCTGGAGCCCTACTGCTCTCAGGTCTTTAGAGCAGCTTATTAAGAGTTCCAACCAAGCTCATTCATGACTTCCCAGTCCAGCTCAGCACAAAAGCCACAGCCAGGCTTTGGGAGAGCCGCCAAAATCTAATTCTCTTCACACATGGAAGCTCCTACTTTTGGACTGATGGTCTCAGGAAAGACAAACCAGCTGGCTTCCAGTACAAGAGAGCAAAGCATGGCTCTCCTTGTTTAATTTACACCCCTTAGCTTGATTGTATCCTCATCCTTCAGGGAGGTCTGGGAAATGCAGTCTATAGCACAAATGCCAAGAAGGCACCAACTATTTTAAAGATTATTTCACCTCCTTAAATCTTGCTGTCAAAGGATTCATCCCTGCAGGAAGAGTTAATATGCATGAGACTTAAGCAGAATTCTCACTCAAAATTTTCTTCTGAGTATTTCGAACCTTCACAGTAACACCAGAGATACAGCAGAACAAAGTCCTCTGGTACCTGGCAAGACCAGGCAGACACCAGCAGCACTACCTAATCCTTCACACTAGATCCATTTACTTCAAGCAAGGCCAGACCATCCTTATTCACATTCAGTCCCTACTTCATCCCAATGAAACCAGTCACAGCTTAGCCACTCATGGCTACATGGCAGGTCTTCCAGTGCCAGGGCAGCTGGAAAAGCCTCTTCTCATCTGTGGAAGGGGCAACAGTCACATTGTTGTGTCAGGTTTCAACAAAGACCCATCTACCTCCATCAGCAAAGCTGTCCCAAGACCACAGCAGAGGTCCTGGCTATGCTGGCATTTTCTCCCAGGCCCAAAGAAACAGATTAAGTACAGTGGCAACATTGTTTCTAAGAATCTCCAACTACTTATGTAATTCAGCAACTTTTGTTGTCCTCTCCATCATCTCCTATAAGGTTCTGACCAGCTTCAAATGTTTCAAATGTTAATGCCTGCTCAGATGACTCCGACAGTGTTTTAACCTTCATTAACTCTCAGTGCAGGTAACAAGAGGACTGGGTTATGGAACACGTAAGAAAATAGAAGTAGTTTGTCACTTGCAACATCATGAAGTCTTACTTCAGCCCACTTGGATGGTCTCTTCATAGCAAAACTCTCTTGCACACAAACACATTTTACACTCCTCCTCTGAACTGCTTTCTGCACACCCAGGGACATGGGCACAAAACCAGCCAGAGTCTGACATGCACAGTTACACCAGGCATAACCCTTCCTGTCACCCACTGAACAGAGGTGTGTATGCTCCAGAAATATACATTCACAGAAATGAAATTTCAGTCAATACTTAGAAATGTCAGTAACATCTCACAGAGTATAATTTTTTATTAAAGGACAAAAAAAGAGACAGCAAACATAGAAATATTCTCAGCATCATCCACAATAGGGAAAGAGACAATGATTTACAGCTTCCTGAAGTCTGAGACAACTGGAGCCACTTTCTTTGCTCCTCCAGCAACTCCCACTGCAGAACAATATGCATTGGGTGACACTCAGATAAGAACAACAAAGTCAGGCTAGGATATGCCTAGAGAAGCCAAAAGAGGGGGGCTGGTAGGGGAAACCTTCCTTCCAGCAGCAGCAGGCCAGAGATCATTCTGACTGATGGTTTTGGGAGGTATGGCCTCAGGCAGACACCCCTCACAGAGAAGAGAGGAGAGCCAGCCCCAGAAGCTAAATCCTGACATAATCACCCATGGGTAGCTATAGAGCAGAATCAAGCAGGAGTAGAGCACAAGTGCAAAAGCCACGCACAAGTACTCTGACAATGTATGTTTCCTCCTCCTTGCACTACATAAGGACAGACACTGATAAATGAGATATGCCCACTGAATATCTGGAAAGGCTGTTTTAGCAGGGGAGCACATGAAATGCATGAACATTCATCACACGGGCGGGTGTTCACAACCTGGCCTCAAGGCACTCAGGCACAGCCCTGCAAGGCAATGACCCCAAAACAGTTACAGCTTCTCCCTCCCCCATTTACTAATCTAATCTAATCATAAAGAGTCATTGTCCTACAGCAGATAGGTTGGTCTTTTATTGCTTTCTGTTCCAGGACACTAAAAAAACCGTTAACAATACTGCAAGTGGTGACAAAGCATAACTAATGATGGAACATTGTATGACCTGAGATTCTCAGGGATCCTCCAAAAGTAGAGCCAAACTGTAGCTTAACAGCTGCTCTGTAAGGGATCATGAGGACAGCCCTCCATGTCACAGCCAACAGACAGCGGTGGGCCAATGCAGAGGTGCATAGAAGGGGTTTTGTTGGGATGGGTTAAGATATTGCCTTGCTCAGGCAGCTTTAATGCTTTCCAAAACCAGCATTAGATGTTAACTCAGACTACTGTGAGCAAGGCCAAAGTTCCTATGTGACTGCACTGGGCAGTTACTCAGATTACTATAGAAGCATGTATTTATTTTGGGATGAAAAAGGGAAATTTCCAGTGGGATCGTAACAGTGCTCTGAACTCGGCATGAATTCTAGAGACAGCTTTAAAAGATAATGAAGTTGTTTTGACTATAGTCACTTTAGCATCTAGTGCTTCCCTCTTGCAGTTCATTCAGTTCACATACTCAGGGGGTGTTGGGAAAAGTAACTTAGGGAAAAAGTTTTGGGCTGCTTGTACCACTGCTTCCTTGTGTTTGTGCATAAATACACAGACCCATCTATACCCCACTGGATACTGTGCTAGTACAGAGGCTAGAGCCACTTGTCACACCTCTCTCAAGCTCCAAATGTTAAGCAGCCACGGGGGAAAGCAAAACACAAACTTCAAAGCCCAAAAGAGCAGTGGCTGACACTAAGAATAGTGCCAACAGCTGAGATGTTTGTATCCGCAGGGTCGGCTTAAGATCATTAGTAAATAACTGCACAGATGTCCTGATCTGGAAAGGAGAGGAATGTTGCACATCAGGAAGATCTCAGTGCCTCACTGAGACTTGTTTGAGTAATAGACAATGGATGTGAACAGAGTCAAATCCTTTAATCAGTTTTTCAGCTCGTATTAGAAGATGTCAGATCAGCAGCAGTTCTACCTCTCATCTTCAGCTGAAGCTCAGACAGTCCAGGGAAGAGCAAGAGCAGATGCAGCATGTGATGGTCTCTGCTCAAGTGTCCTTTCTGGTCTCTTCCTATCTTTGCACAGTGTCCTTCCTAGAGTCACACCAATACAAACCATACCTAAGTGCTACATTCGTGAACCTGCCAAAGAGAAAGCTGAGAATTCCATGGTTGCTACCACAAACCAAGGGCACTCAGCCAGTAAGTGGGTGCTCTGCTAAACTTAGATCAACAAGACCATTTGAGAGCAAAGAGTTATAACTTCACAGTACTACAGAGGCTGTGGCAGCCTTTCAAAACCAAGTATCCAGGAATGTTCTCAGCATTAATCTATATTTAGCTGTATCTCCACATGATTTTTACCATTCTCTAGTCTGGGTCTCTTGGGATACTGACCTCAGTTTTCCACTGGTATCATCTGTTCACTTACATGCAGTGATACAGTGTTAGCTGCATTAAAAACTAACGAGAAAAAAGCTACAAAAATCAATTGTCAATACAATTACCTTAATTTTAAGGCTTATGAATTTGAGTCAGCGTTCTTGATCTGTAAAAACCCCTTGAAAAACCAGGGAATGTTTTGAACACCTTGCAGCCTGGTGCAAGAATCTCTGGTTACCTAAACTTGATGCCTCAAAGCCTGAGAAACACAAGGCTGATATGCAAAGCTGAGCCCTAGCACTCTGCACCATGTTGAGCTGACCTGAGCCCTAATTAAATTTTAAATATTGACCAAAAACATGTATTCATGCTGCTTTCACAGGGACCAGCTGCAGAAGTCCAACTTGCATAAAGTTTTTTGGGTTTACATTTAATGGATATAAAATAAAAGGAAAGGCTGTACTGTTCACATTATTCCCCCAAATGAGTTTAGAGGCCTAAAAGCCTTTACCTGCTTCTCAGTGAATGCGTGGTCTGGACCCAGCCACTGTGCAGAACATCTCTGTGCATACAGACCTGCTGTCAGCAGAAGACAAGAAAATTTATCATCCCACCTGACATGCAGTAAACCATATGAGGTAGACACAAGATTTAGCTCAGTCTCTAAATATTGTGGTACTTATGCAAAGCTCTACTACACAAGTATTTGCTAGACTTCAAACTAGCCTACAGAATAGACCTGGGAAAGGGGACTAGGACCCAAGATACCCCCAGGAAGCCTTCAGAAGCAGTACCCTTGGCCTCCAGACCTTCTCTGGGCTGAACCTGTGAGTCTTGAGCATTGGGTGAAGCAAATAAAGCTGCTGAGGTCAAGCATGAAAGACCTTGGGAATAGTTTCAGTCAAGGAGTGAAGCACGTTACATAGGAACAAAATTGCTTAGCAAGTGCACACTCACCTAATCACCCAGAGTATGCATGCTAGAGCCCCTTCTCAGACTCAGCAGAGTTTCACCAACGACTTACCTTAGTGACACATGGGCTGACATCTGGAGCTCATCACTTGCTTTTTGCTGCATCTTTACTACCACCAGTAGTAAATATAATACCATTTTAATACCACCAGTATTTTGTTACCTTTTCTGATCACTGCCACAGCTCACTGTTTGCCAGTGTTAACACACTGTGAAGAACAGTGCTGCTCCATAGGAGAACAGTTAGGTTGTCCCCATTCAAATCCACTGGCCAAATGAAATGTTTTTCAGGTATCAGGGGGAAAAAAAACCCATCCTTTTAACATAGTATACAGTGAAACACACCTTTCAAAGATTCCCTTTCTAATGAGGGCACCCACAGTCACACTATGACTCCCAAAGTCACCACCATGCAAACCAGTCCATCATCACAGACATCGGTTCTGGGAAACCAGTATGAGATCAGCATCCTTTGGGAATGCAGGTGAACAGATACAGCTCTGATGCCACCATTCAGAGGATACAAGGCTCTGATCATTTCCAGACCATTAGCTACATGCCCTCTAATCTGAATATTGCATAATCCCTCCAAGAACTTGGCTTATCAGTTCAACTTTGCACTCCCTGCAAACAGGGAAGCTGTTTGTCAGAAACCTGTGCTGCTTTGCCAAAACAATCTCTGCCAGAAAAGGCTCTTAAACCTTTTATTGCAGAATCCCCAGCCACTATGGTCATTTTTGCTTCTTAACCCCAGTGCCACCAAGGAACCTGACCGAAACAGTATAGTGTAATTTTAAATGCAGCAGCATTAGGAAAGATCCTTCAGATTGTTGGATTTGTCCCAATGAACTGCTCCTAATGTAAAGCATTTGGAGGGCTTTTTCCTTCTGCAGGAAAGGATTTCAAAAGGATGCAGTTATATTTTGTAACCTCCACAGTTATACCAGGATGCACACTCCAATACATTTAGAATGAAGACAGGCAACTTCCTACTCCAGAGAAGAGGATTAGTACTATTCAGCTTAAGTAGCAATTGAAACAATTTGGCTCCAGAAAAACCACTGCTGCAAAATTAAAACTGAACTCAAAGTTGTGCAGCAGAAACTAGATCTATCCAGTGCAGGGGAGAGGCAGAGCAGGACTGGGTCAGGGAGAAGGTAACAGAGGGAAGTGTCAGTTAAGAAAAGACACGTGCAAGGGGAAAAGGTACATGCAGCCTCATCAAAAACATATCTTGTGACCACAAAAACATACTGAAAGCCAAGTTCCCAGCTGCATCCCCAGGGCAAAAAAAGAACCTGGTTCCCAGCCCTTGCAGGCTGGTAAAATAAAGATAAAAGATGACCTAGTCTGTCCTCTGATGACAGACTTGATCACAGATTTGGAAGATGTATTTAGACCCGGCTTGCCTGTAGCCCTCACTCCCACAGCACCCCCAGTGTCCACAGTACCAGCAGTCCCACCCTGAAGACGAGACCAAACCCTTCTCTGCTCATCAGTTTGCTGTGAGAGCTCAAGGAGCCCAAGAGCTGCCAGAGCCCTGACACTGGTCTGCTGCATAGCCAGACTTCCCAGAGCAGGGAAAAGACAGTGCTAAAGAAAGAGGAAAGGAGAAAAAAAACAAAACAAGCCCCAAACAAAAAAATGCCACACAACAAAAACCAAACAAACCAACCAACCCAAAAAAACCACTAAACCCCTTTCTCTGCCACTGGAAAAATACTAAAGCTGTTAATATGATCAGGCTACAGCAGACTGGAGTCAGGATTCTTTAAAGTAATGTTGCTCCTATCTAAGCCATATACAGGAACACTGGATGGAAGGAAGGAGAGACAGGCCATGGCACCGTGTCAGGCTAACACAAAGAACAAAGCCTGTACAGAAAGGCAAGGCAGCACATCACTAAGAAGAACCTCAAACCCACTTCCATCCCACAAGTCAATATGTGCTTGTTGAATTCAGGAAGTGGCTTTTGCTGTTTCAAGAACACTTAATACCTGTTTGTTGCTGCCCTACAGAACATCACTGCATTCCCTCAGCCAAACAGTCCATTGTTTGTGTTGGAGCAGAGATATTAACAGACAATTCGTGCCTATCACTCAGGACCTACTATGGTTGGCTGAAAAACATGGGAAGCACCAGCAGACTTCCAGCAAGGAGCTGCGTGGCAAGAGCTAGCAGGTGTGCTACGGTGTGCTATGGAGACTGCAGCAGGCTCAGCAAGTCGAGCTTTCTGCTTGCAGCGGCAGAGGCTGCCAGCTACAGCTACCACTTGAAAAAACAAAATGAGGAAGTTGGCTGATTTCCCTTATTTTGGTACTAAGAACACAACACTTGCCACAGAAGAGTTCCTGGAGAGAACCAGAGCCAGGAAAGAGTCAGTGTGGTGCCAGGAGAGGAGCATAACAGGACAAAAAAAAATATTCTGTGTCAGCAAGTGACTTGGGGAGCAAAGCCCTTACTTTGGGGTTGCTGCCTAGACGTGTTCTGGAGTCAGTTTTGTTCCCCTGCTTTTAAACACTGTCTTTTCTCCTATGCTCAGTATAGAGGTTAACTCCTGCCCACCTCCCCAGGTGACCATCCTCACCCAGCGTGCTGTGCACCTGGGGACAGGAAGCACGGCGCTGGAGTGCCACCTTCCGGCAAGCAACCGGCAGCGCGGCCTCCCCTTCCTGGAGCCGGGCATGGAACACATACCCTCTGCTCCAGAGCCCCTGCACTGCCCCATTGCTGCTTCTCCTTCCCCTGGCCGCACTTATTGCAGGGGCTGCTTCAAAGCGGCAAGTGAAATGACATGGTATCATTCCACCTGGGACAAATGGCATGGCTCCTGGCAGGTTGGTGCTGGGGCCAGAGGAGACAAGGACTACAGCTGCTCCCACAATCAGACATTTCCCCAGATCTCAGCAATATGTTCTGGGTCAGATCGGAGCATCCTCAAAAAACAAGCACAACAGTCACCTGATGATCCACTCAAAACCACCTCAAAGGTTCAGCAGGACACTCTGGAAGAAGAAAGCATGACTGTTTTTCAAATGCTTGATCCACCTCCTGGCATCAGCCATGCACAGCCTGGCCACTGTCAACGAGTGTTAACAGGCCCCAATGTGCCCATCTTACTTGAGGTTATCCAAGAGTCCTAAGAAGGCCAAAAAGGTAAGTACATGCAAACATCCAAGCAGCAGTGAGCTTCAAAGCTGAACTGGACATGCTACAAAACATTTCCTTCCAATTTGAGCCAGACACACCTCCTACAATCCCACTCAATGTTAAAAATCTCTGTTTACAATTCAAAAGAGGTCTCGGTGAACTCAAGCTTTCCTCCTGCAGAAGCCAGCCCTGCTCAAACTTTCCACATCTTTCTGTTTTTTATTTCACTTCAGCCTGTATACTCTTAGCACACTGATACATCCAGTTGAGTACAATTTCCTCTTCTGACCACCTGGTGCCTCAATTGCCTTGAGCTGTCTACCAGGAGCAGTCTTTATCATTTCCTGCTCAGGCTTCAACTACCCTGAAAGAATGGAGTGGGAAATAGTCATGTTCAAAAGGCAAAGATAAACCACCCCCTATCTGCCTGTGCACCCAGAATGAAAAATCGAGAGGCACAGGCTTGTCCCAGCGTCCCCCAGGCAGACAGGATGACACAGTATCTCTGGGTGCACAAGCACAAAATCCCCAGCACTGCCAACATCCTTTGGCTGAACATTTTTATGGTGCTGCCTCCATACAAGCCTGAACTACATGAAAACCACTGGCACAAATATGTGCTACCAGCTCCAAAGAGAGCTGCTTTCCACTCCAACTATTTGGGACACACATGTGAAGTTTTACACTGTCAGCAGACAAAATCTCGGAAATTTCTGTCCCCTGCCCCAAACCAAGACCACAACAGCTCAAGGGACAGTTTCAGGGAACACAGTATGAAAGGCAGCTCAAGAAGTCACATCTAGTCTATCCTCTTTTCCACTAGGATGTCACCAAAATACTAGGTTTATCAAGAGAAAACACTAAGACCCACTGGGCAAAAGCAGCACTCTCTCTAAACTCCTTGTGGCCCACAGTATCTTCTGTTCTAACCTGTCTATAGAGTCATTACAAGTTATTGGAGATTCTAATACCCTGATAGTGACTCCCACCTTGGAGCAGTCAAAGCTGGTAACACCTTTTCTACTTCAACAATACCCCACTGGTGTGATAAGTGCAGACCCAGAGGAGACCCCTACATCAGTGGTGCAGCAGAACCATGACAAAAAACAACTGAACACTTGACCTCCTTGCACAAAAGACTCTACAAGAGAGTGCAGACATTTCATATGAGAAAACAGGCTTTTCCTGCTTCACCTTTTGCCTTCCCCTAGGCAGCACTGCAGACAGTGGCATTAAAGCAAATCTTGTGGGTAAAAAGGAAAAGAAGAGATAAGAGTGAATACAACTTGAGGAAGGAACATTCTGTGCTGAACAGAACCAATGTATTCAAAAAGAGATTATCCAGTAGCAAGAGATAGAGGTACCTGCACAGAATCATGTTTTGCTGTAGAGAAGTCATCAAAATCAGAATGACAGAAGCAAAACAATATCAAAGTTAAATCAAGTTGAGGGCAGAACATCAAGTTTAAAAAGTGATTCCAATAGCTGGTAAGAACAAGCCTTTCTGATTACACAAGATACTTAAGGTCTTCTTCAAAATTCAAGGTGGATGTAGACACTGCCTAAAGATCAACAGGGCTGAAGTAAAAGGGAATTGAAGTTCCATGGCCATCTGTAGTCTTCTTCCCAAGACAGGTGTGAAGTCTGAGGCCATTCAGTTCACATTTTCCACACACTGGTTTTTGAAGTGGGACTGTTAGGCAACAGCAAAGTTTTACAGTCTGCAAGATACTGCTGTGCTGCTCAAACTATTGCCTTTAAAAAGATATGACTGAAGCATTAATGATTACTATATTAATTCCATGGCGACATTTTCATAAACCTGTAACACAGCAAAGCAAAAGCAACAGCAGAGGACCACCCACCTAATATTGCAAAGCTCAAACAGCAATTTCTGTCTTGACATAAAATTCAAGATAGGCAAAGAGGTGTTTTAACAGTTAATTTAATTTTGAGAGAATAGAAGAGATTGCTCCATATAATTAAAGATGATGAACTAGAAATTGCTTCATCCATAGCAAACACTGCTGCAAAATGGGAGCTTAGTAATGTTTTGCTCCATGCTTGGGTCCAAACATGAAAACTCCAGAAATTTTACTGACAAGCTTATAAGTAAAAACTATTTCTTAGAAAACAGGAAAGGCTTAGGAGACAGCTTTAACACACTGACACAGAAAACAACAGATATGAGCCTCTGGGTTAAAAAGTGAGATAGCAGTAGCATCCAAACAAAAAGGAGTGAACACAAAGGCATGTGGCAGAGAGATGGGTGTTTACTCGATATTTGTAAATGCAGGAAATGCCACAGATAGAGGAAAATTTTAAATTTTCCCATCAACCACAAAGGTCTTTCTATATCAGCCTGCATCATTCAAAAACTTGTAGCTGATAAGCAGGACAACACACAATTGCCAAAAATTCAAGACTAAATACCACTTGCCAGAGCACTTGTGATGAGCCCAGGCTCACTGTACCACAGGTGATACATTAACTGTCCCACTCAGGAACAGAGTATGATCTC